AATTCTTGACCAAGTGAAGGCCCAAAATGATACCTCCTGTCCCATGTATACATCTTCATTTAGAAAGTATTGACCTTGACCTTGCAGACAAGTCATTACCACCTTATTTACCACATCTTCTGGTTAGGGGAGATATTATGTAGTATCATTAATATCTTGCAAAGCATTCAAATGCTTGGAGTGGGGCTCAATAGTTAAAACTGTTTGACCTTGACCGTGCAGACACATTCTAACTAAACAACCATGAGGTGATGTGCACCAATTATACCAAGTATATTACTTTCTTTCAAGGCATTTTAAAGTTTTGACAGACACAACTTACAGACAGGCATGGTAATTCCTATGCTGTGTCATTTTCGGTTAGATCAAGCTAAGTAGTTGGGAAAATTTCTAAAAAGTTAAAGAGTGATGACGATAGACACATAGTGATGGAATTAAAAAGCACTGTCACATATCCAGTGTTCTCCTTAAGGTCTTTAGCATGATGGTAATTTGATGCTTAAAAAGAATATGCTAGAATGTGAAGCGATCTGAAATTTTTATCTTAAATACTGCTATAATTTCTAGAAACGAGAAGGTATTTCAAAACTCCCTGTTTATCAGTAAGTTATATGAATATCATTGGGAGAAAACTGCATATCACTTACAAAAGAGACTTCTTCCTCCTTCAACTGTCATCCATAATAAAATAAGATGGATCTCTAAAAAAACTTTTATTTACAAATTTATTCATCTATATCATTATTATGCATCATGATAAAAAATACTTAAATTAAACAAGACAATCTGCTTCAAATGTAAATCAAATATAATTATCAAAGAAATACTAATTAATAATAAGCTTTTGGCCACTATGTATATATATCACTGGTGTAGAAGGCAGGGGACAAGGGGGGACGCCCCCCCCCCCCCCCCCCCCCCCCCCCTTTTTTGCCAAAAAAATGAAAATAGAAAATGAAAATGAACTTGTTTTGTTCTTTATTTGCTAGTTACTTTCAAAAGATTGCTCCCCTTCCCCCCATTTTTTTAGTTTACTCCTATGCACTGTATATATCAACATTTGGGTCATGTATCATAGGGAAAATATAACAATTATACTAAATAAAGACAGTACCGTGGATTCATTCTAATTTCTTGGACACCAGCTCTTAGATTGACTGATGATTGCTGAACACCTGATGATGTCAGGGCATACAGGCTATATCACAACAATGCCAGTTCTTAGACTGTTTTATAGAAATTAATATCTATTTTGAGATACAGTAACTGTATATTGTATTCATTGGCCATTATCAAAGTAACAGTTTATTTTTGGAGTTAGATCACTGGCACTTGTCTCAGAATTTTTTTTCCTTTATACCTTAATATAACAATTTATATTAAGGTATATAGGGAAAAAAATTCTGAGACAAGTGCCTGTGAGTTAGATATATAAATTTGAGGCTTTCCTTTACTTAACACTAAATATATAAGAATTTATAGATTTCAACAACAAAAACATGAATCCAGAGTTTGTCTCATACTTTAAAAAAACAGCATTTCAAACAATACAATAGAATTCTTATACAAAGACAAATATTGTAAAAACTACAGTAAACAGGTGACAAATATCTGAATTAAATTGTTTATTTGAGGTGTATTTCGCAGATACCAATTTTTGTGGATTGAGAGAATAGTCTCTACATTCCTGGAAATTTGATTTCATGCCAAAGTCTGCATGTAAGCCTATATATAAAGTGGGTATTTCATGCAAAAGTCTGCATACAAGCCTATATATGAAGTGGGTATTTCATGCCAAAGTATGCATGTAAGCCTATATATAAAGTGGGTATTTCATGCCAAAGTCTGCATACAAGCCTATATATGAAGTGGGTATTTCATGCCCAAGTATGCATGTAAGCCTATATATAAAGTGGGTATTTCATGCCAAAGTCTGCATGTAAGCCTATATATAAAGTGGGTATTTCATGCCAAAGTCTGCATGACGTAAGCCTATATTTAAAGTGGATATTTCATGCCAAAGTCTGCATGTAAGCCTATATATAAAGTGGGTATTTCATGCTAAAGTCTGCATACAGGCCTATATATAAAGTGGGTATATCATGCCAAAGTCTGCATGCAAGCCTATATATAAAGTGGGTATCTCATGCCAAAGTCTGCATGTAAGCTTATATATAAAGTGGGTATTTCATGCCAAAGTCTGCATGTAAGCTTAAATATAAAGTGGGTATCTCATGCCAAAGACTGCACGCCTATATATAAAGTGGGTATCTCATGCCAAAGTCTGCAAGCCAATATATAAAGTAGGTATCTCATGCCAAGGTCTACTGAGGGTTACCTATACTGACAAAATCAATGAAAAATAAGTATCCCATGAATAATAATGAATCCCCAGTATATCAGTATCTAGAATCAGAGCTACTATGAGTAATATCAATGTTATTACAATTCATGCATAATGAGACCCAACTACATGTATTAAAAAAAAAAAAAGTACAACATAATAAAAAATATTCAAACCGTCTTATCATTCACATTACAAAATTATGGTACAAGCTGCTAAATTTTGCTTGCTACCTTAAGTCTAATCATTTTAATTCTAAAGTTTCAATTGGACCGCTCTCCCACTCCAAAAAAGAATAAAATATATGTACACACTGCCATTTGTTACTGAAGATAATCTGAAAATTTTTTAATGAAAAATTAGAGATGGAAAAATAAACAGATAATCTTCCCCACACACAGAAAAACTCATTGAACAGGTCCATGTATTTTTAGCAATTTTTTTGTACTGTTTGTTTCATTGTTGGTATTTTTAATGCCACTTTCAGAAACCTTCGACTATATCATGGTGATCAGCTTTTATTGGAGGAAACTGGTGTATTTTATTGGATGGCATTCAAAAGCCGTAAGAAAAGTATTTTAATTCTATAAATTCAACTTTCAGAAAGTTTATAAAGATAAATAAGGTACAGATACAAGACAAACATTTTGGTGTCTGCTTTTTGAAAATGCTACTCAGAATGCATTAGATGCTGAAATGGTGAATTGTATAAAAATGTAAAACCCAACCAACTTACCAAATTTGACATTCCATCAAATGCTTAGTACTGTAATTATTGTTTTAGAGGGACTGCTTTTTGATTATTCCCTTTGGTGTTTAGCCAACAATGTTTTTGACAGGAAAACTTTATACAGCAAAGTCGAGACAATTTCACAAAACAAGACTTGTATGTACATGACTTAATTTATGTAAACTGATGAAAGTCTAATGGATGCTTTGTAAAACAGTACACTTGTACTCCTCAAATAATTATTATACAATTTTGTTTATCATAAAGCAAAATACAATGTACAATAATATCATGAATATATAAATAATGAAAACATATTTATACTGTAAATTAAAAAAAAAAATTGCAAGAATTTATTGATTGGCATTGTTAAACATTAGACCAAAAGGTTAAATTAATCATTGTCATTTAAGGACATGTTGCAAATAATTAGTGTTATCAAAATTTAAAATATAATTTTATTTTTGCAAAATCTATCCCGGTGTAGCAATTGTCAGTAAAATAAAATGTATCAAAAATCTGAATTTTCAGTAATTGGAGAATAAATAAAAGCATTAAATAAATGGGGAATTTGTCCATGGGACACAGATGGTTGCCCCCGCTTGAATATCATATAGTTATAAAGGGACATAACTGAGCAATGGTAAAAGTGAAACTACCCAAATTTGTACTTTATCTGTGTTTTGTGGTAATAAGCATTGTGTGTAAGTTTCATAACATTTGGTTCAGGCAAACTAAAGTTAGAGAACGGAAACCAACTTTGGGACCTACGGACGGACAAGGGTAAAACTTAATGCCCATTACACTTTGTGGGGCATAAAAAAAATTTTTTTTTAATTTACAGTAATCAGAAAATAAATAACAGCATTAAAAATCTAAATTGTGAATTTACAGCAATTGGAAAAAAATAACAGCATTAAAAAATCAATCATTTGACTTACAGAATTATCATTTAAGGTTTTTATTAAACAAAAAAGCAATATAGTTTATCATGTGGTTTGCATGCTTATTATTGTCCACAGGACTGACAACACAAGGCAGCAGCAGGAACACACCTGTAAAAGAAATAAAATTATATTTCTTTGTTGACAATTCATAATAATTAAGTAATGTTAAAATATATGAATTAGGTAATGTTTAAATAGTTGAGTGGCAATTTTTCTTTTAAATAGACAGATATTGTTGTATGTAAAAATACTTGTCTTCTATTCAAATTTATTGATTTACCAAAAAATATTGTAATAGAAATCGTGCAGCTAAATTTGTTATATTAAAATGGAGAGTCATCTTATTATGTACCAATTTTGATTTTCAAGGTGTTAAAATCACTTTTACCAATATCGCATTAATCATTCATTGAGTGTCAGATAAGGGCAGAAGCTATTAAGCCGAAAATTTGAAAAATTTACACACGATAAAATCATTCAGGCAATTTTGATAAACTTTCATTGTTTGTTTCAAGTTTTATCACATTTACTTTGTTTCTCCATATATTGACTAACGAAATGAATTCTTTGGAAATTTGTATTGATAGAAATTCAAAACTGAATAAGAAGCAAAGTTTTGATATAATTAAGACATCTTGTCTTTGTAACAGCACTTGCCTTTTCATTGCAAATGAATGTGAAGTTATCTCCCCTTTTCAAGTAACCACAATTCTCTATTACATACAAAAACAATGATTCTCTTTGATGTTTCAGTACATGGTCATTAGGTAAAAGTTTAAAGATGGAATAAGAGAAAGTAGTTAAAAAGGGCTATAAACCTTCTAAACTATAAAAACATCTGATTTACATCTATTAAGGTTGCAGTAGAAAATATAAAGATGACAATAAAGATTTATAGAAATTTAAACTGTCCACAAGATTACATGAATTAATTAAATGTGTATGTGGAGGAATAAATATATTCTCACCTTAAAACAGATCCAAATGCTACCCTAGTCAGTATCCCTATGGACAAGCTGTGATGCTAACCTGTAATACAAAGTGGAATCAGTTATTTAAATCCTTCAAAATAATCTACTGTGGATTCATTGATTTTAGTGGGGATTGAGGAAAACATCTGATTTCTGTTGATTCATTTATTTTCATGGGGATTGAGGAAAAATTGGATTTCTGTGGATATTTGATTGAAAGTTGATAGAAAATTGGTACTTGCTGAACATTTAAATTTGTGGTTCACTATTACTCACAAAATCCAATGGGTATTCAGTTTAAAACAAATAGACAAATATAAAAAACGTCAAAAATGATTTCTCTTTCTAAGATTGGCAATATGTTTACTATTTAAGACAATTATGTACCCTTTTTCCTCTGGAGCTGAATCCCCCCATGTAATTCAATCTTTTGTGATACCTGAACCATTATTAAATTGACATCAAACAGTTATAGATTAAAAAAAGTTTGTATACCTACCAACATGTTAGCAGTATCAGATCTCCAATTTTTACTCCCAACACCATGAAATCATTGTCATTACATCAGCCTATAATCAAATAAAAAAAATATACTTGTTTGAAATATTCCTTTTACAGATCAATCCAAGCACGATAGATTTCTTTAACAAAACAGTATATTTTAAAATTACACATACTTGTTAAAGAAATCTATCGGTGCTTCAATTGATCTTTCATATTTTCACAGCTATGTGACATTATAGCTGTGAGAATATAACATTGTCAACCAATGAAAAGCCAATGACGACAATGTTTTTTTCATGTCATGACTATCTGCATTATTTGCATCACAGCTATGTGTTATTTGAGTTATTTTAATTTAAAATTAAATTATTGACAGACAGTATTTGTTGTTTATTTCACTGCACCAAAGAATAATATAATTAAAATAGTTGTTAGAAAACATCTGATGAAACTCCCGTAATTTCAAATCGTGTGTGATCGTTTGCGGTATTTTCATGGTAAAACCTGTTTTCCATCATCAAATATAAGTTGAAAATGCTTGTAAATAATTCTAGAACACTTCATGAGTGTTAAAATTAAAGAACCTTAGTGAGCATGCTCACATATACCATGCCCCCACATTGTCACTGGGTAAACAAAATCTTACAGATTCCTAAGTTCAAAGACTCATAATTCCATCAAAAGTCAACTGATAAAAATTTCTTATGGATATGCACATTTACATATTATGTCCTTATAATCTACAAAGTTTCATGAAATTATGTTATGTAGTATTAGAGGACTTGCGATGAAAAACTGTTGCAGTAGTATATTGAGGCCAATAAGTGCAAAGGGGCATAAGTCCTAGAAAAAAAAATTGAATCATAATTTCCTGTCGATATGCACGTCTACATAATATGTCCTTATCTACAAAGTTTCATGAAATTCTGTTGTGTAGTTTCAGAGGAGTTGCGATGACAAACTGTTGCAGTAGTATATTGAGGCCAATACGTGCAAAGGGGCATAACTCCTAGAAAAAAAATTGAATCATAATTTCCTGTCGATATGCACATCTACATAGTATGTCCTTATTACCTACAAAGTTCGAATAGCATGTGTAAATGAAAATAAATATGGTGAGTGTACGGAAAATCTGTACTTAATAGATTTGCCCTGGAGATTTTAACGAGATTTGACAGTACTTTGTTACATAGCAACATACAATATCGGAAAATGTAAACAAAACAATTTGTTTCTTGTTGCATAAAGCATAAAATTAATGCATAAAATCAATTCCTATTCTAAATTTAAAGTAACGAATGCATTATAAAAAGAAAATAGATATTGAAAAAAGGCATCAATTTGAAATCAAATAAAATTCCGCTAAACTCCATGAATGATTTGGGCACATAAACTTCATGGTAAACATGACATCATACAAAATGAAAACTTTCGAACTGAAGGCTATTACGATATGTCCACTGTGGATTTGACAGTAAATTTTAGCCAATGAAAAATTTTTCCACAATATTGATGGTTTGAAAAACAGAATATTCTTTCAATCTTTATTAGTTGATTTGCGATAACATTTCTTGGATTGTAGCATAAAATAAAATTTCATGTTTACAATGGGAATTGCGGTATAATACACGTGATTTGATTGGATGATGGAAAAAGTCTCATGACTAATTAGATTCTACAATATATCAGATCTCACCAGCTGTTTATGAACAAAGTGTAGAAGTCAGCCGAGAACCAGCTTATCATTATGCATAAGCTGGTTCCCAGTTGACTACTACACTTTTTTCGTTCTGTTAAATTCAAGCAGATTCCAGTTTATTTTAAGCAATGTAGTGAAAAGAAACTAGAATCATTTAATTTTGAAATTTAACAGTTTATATTTGATATTGAATAAAAATTACATATTAATATGGATTAGGTAAAATTATTAGTTTTGAAAATTATAAGAGCGCCCTCTACAATTTCAATACCAAACATGGTGGAATGTAAACAATCCTCGCAAAATTGATTTTTACACTAATTTCTTGATTGTCATACTCTATAGTCCGCACCCCTGTCTGGCAGGTTCAATTTTGGAGAATAAAACAGCGTACTATATAAAAGCCTGAATTCGGTAATAACAAACTTTAGAATTTTGTTTTCCAGTATTTAATTATCTCGACACCTCTCTTCAGATCTTTTATACAGAATTATTATTAACATTGAAATACAAGATGGCTGTTCAATGACAAATTACATGCAGGACAAGAACATGCAAAAGCAATGTGAATATAAAAACTGCTTTGTACTAGGTAGACACGCTGAGCTACATTTTTATGTGCTAGTTCACAAGGTAACAGTCCACAAGAAGACATGTCACCCTACCTGGACACTTTATTCCGACTAAGAGCTGACCAGTCTTTGCTCTTACTCCTAAATGAGGCATGATTAGGGGAGAAGCAGCAAATACCAATTTTCAATTCTTTGGTTTGACCCAGGTTGGGATTGAAATCATGACCTCTTGTACTAAAGACAAATTCTACCATGAGAACACCAAGGCAATTATAAATACAATTAAAGAACCTTTGTGTGAACACGCTCACATACCCCACGTTCCCACATTGTCACTGGGCAAACAAAATCTCAACAGATTCCTAAGTTCAGAGACTCATAACTCCTAATAAAGTCCTGATAATTTTTTTTTGTGGATATGCACATCTACATATTATGTCCTCATTAACTACAAAGTTTCATGAAATTCTGTTGTGCAGTTTCAGAGGAGTTGCTATGACAAACTATTACAGCAGTATATGCCAAAATTCTAAGTTCAAAGGGGCATAATTCCTAGAAAAAATTGAAATGTAATTTCCTGTCAATATGCACATCAACATAGTATTTCCTCATTAACTACAAAGTTTCATGAAATTCTGTGGTGTGGTTTCAAAGGAGTTGCAATGACAAGAACAGGACTGACAGACAGACAGACTGACTGACAGACGGAGGGGTCAAAAACATTATACCCTACGCAACTGCATTGCATTGGGTATAATAAAATCTTCATCTATATATGATTCAATAAAATAGGACATTTACATGATCTGAGATTAGAAATTCATAAATCTATGTTGAGTTTATATCTTACCTTAAAATAGATATAGGAAGATGTGGTATGAGTGCCAATGAGACAACTCTCCATCCAAGTAATTTATAAAAGTAAACCATTATAGGTCAAAGTACGGCCTTCAACACGGAGCATTGGCTCACATCAAACAACAAGCTATAAAGGGCCCCAAAAAATACTATTCAAATGGGAAAAGTGTTTTTAAAAATCTTACCTTAAAAGTCTGCTTCAATTGTCATTTCCAGTCTCAATCCTTATGAACAAACTGAAAGCTAACCTGAAAAATATAATGTTTAAACATTCAAATTTGTTAAGAACTTCAATTGGTATGTTGTATGTATATATAGAAATAGATTATATATGATTTAAGTTAAAGGATATGCCAGGAAAACATAGTTTTACAGCAACCCAAGATGATGATGATGATAAATGATAGCTGCTTAAAGTCCACCGGCAAATTGATATGCATATTTATGACGAGAACATGTTAATGTAATATGAATATTTACCCTACTTTGTACTAAACTGACACGCTGAGCCAGATTTTTAAGGTGCTTGTTTAAAAGGTAACAGTCTGCAGGAAGACATGTCACCTTACCTGGACATATCATTCTAACTCCGAGCTGACCAGTCTTCGCTCTTACTCCTTAATGTGTTAGGGGAGAAGCAGCAAATACCAATTTTGAAGTCTTTGGTTTGACCCCGCCGGGGTTTGAACCCACGACCTCCCTCACTCGAGGTGAAGACGCTACCAGAAGACCACTGAGGCAGTCAACAACCCAAGAATACAAAAGTTTAAGACTTCCATGTAATCAATTGGGTTATTCACATTCAGTCATATAGATTGCAAAATACAATTAATTTCCCAATAAGTGCCAATAGTAGCGCTTTGAGATACAGACTTTAGATTGATTGATTGTTGGTGTTTTAACGCCACTTTTAAGCGCCACATTTGGGCTATTTCATGGCGGCCAGTTTTTATTGGTGGAGGAAGCCAGAGTGCCCGGAGAAAACCACGACCTTCGATAGGAAAACTGACAATCCTAGTCAATTAAGATTGGAGTCGAGTGAACCTACACGAGCGGTGTTCGAACTCACAACCTCAGTGTTGACTGGCTAGTGATTACAGTAGTAGAACTACTTAGACCAATTGGCCACCGAGGCCCCCTACAGACTTTAGATACCGGGTAGTTGATTTTTAGATTGAAATCTTGCTCAGATTTATAGGGCTGGGTTTTATTATTTTTTAAAATAATCTTGCCTCCATTTTGATTTAAAAAAATATAATCTGACCTATTCAGTTGCAAGTCAGGAGCCTGTTGTTCAGTTGTTGTATTTGGTTCATGTCTGTCATATTTGTTTTTTGTAAATTGTTGTGATAAATTAGACCATTAGTTTCCTCTATTGAATTGTTTCACATTTTTTCATGTCAGGCCTTTTATAACAGACTATACAGTATGGGTTTTTCTCATTGTTGAAGCCGTTCGGTTGCATAATTTATTACATCCACTTCATTTAAAGTTTGGTGGATAGTTCTCTCATTGGCAATCATACCACATCTCCTTACATTTATAAAGGTTTATTGTAACCTATAACGATACTGATTACATATTTTTTCAATCCTCAGGACACATTATTTTCACTTTATTTTTTTTTTATAGTATAACGAACATATCATTTGTTTCAAAAAAGGAAATTATAAACGTACTTATATCTTAGCTGTGGTAGGCCTCCAAGCCTTACTCCTAATACCATGAAACATGTCCCAGAAATAACCTAAAAGGAATTAAAATTGACACAAATTATATATTTTTCCAATTTAATTAAACTATGATCCGCCTTAAACTTTATAAAAGTTTTTCCGTTTCTTACTACCCAATAATATAGCATCAGTCTTGTCTGTAGGAATTTAAGAGCTGGAAAAAGATTTGATTTTAATGCCAACTGCACAAAAATTATCTGAGTAATCTCCCATTGAATGAAACATTATTGTTTGTTTGTTGTACTTGTCTCCCCTTAAAGATGAAATAATTTGATATTATAATTGCTTTCCTGTACCTCGGAACTTATTATAAAATATATGAAAATGGTAAATGAACTCGTTATTGGTGTTATGAGAAAGATAAAAATAATTTTATTGTTTGTTGTCTTGTGTACTTTTACGTACATGTTCATTTCTATAGAATCTATAAAAATTGTATGGCTTAAATAAACTTGCCTGATTTCGTTCATGGTAAATTATCAGACTTGATTGAAGATCTATTTAACCATCTTCCTTGGAGCTGCTATTGATTCCTTACTGCTTTTTTTAAGTGTTTTTCAACATTGGTTTTTATGCTATCAAAATCCAGTCCATTTGAATAACTGAAATGTCTACTTCATTCACAATATTTAATAATATACAGTTTGTCACAAAAATATTTATTTATTTTCTCACATTAATTTCTTTTTTCCGATCATGATGATTTACTGGATTATTATAATATATTAAGTACATGTGCGTTAAAACATATCCAATATTTTGAAAATTTCCGAAAAGTTGGTTGTAACCCACAATTTCTTCCACCCTTTAAAACTATTATCTAGAACTCTGCTCTAAATAATAACAATAGACTAGTTAGCAGACATCTGATATATAAATACTTATACACATATAATAGACATAGTTAAAAAACGTCTAGTTATTGCCTACACTGAAGGAACTTCATTTCTCTCTAAAAGTAGCACATGAAGGTATATATTTTATTACATATTTCAATTGACTAGGTGACAAATAGCTTGTATGCAAACTTTCGTCAAAATATCACCTTAGGATCTAAATTGTATTGTATGCCCTTAACTTGGCAAGTGGAGAAAATGTTGTAAACAAAGTGAAACTTTAAAATTTCAAGCCTCACTTTTAAATTAAAAAAAATTAACTGTTTAAAGTGGAGAAATGTCATCTCACATTCGATTCAAAGGTAGAATCTACAGTTCTTCAAATTTTGAATTTTAAACCTGGGGTATTTTTTTAGAATGGTTATGTAACATTTTCAACATTCACAATGTTAAATGGTTTAAGGAACTATTTACAATGAGATTCATACACAAGTTTAATTTTAAAATAACACCCAAATAAATGTTTCATCTAATGTATGGAGAAAATATAGATGACAGCCTAGTATTGAAGGTCAAGGCTGAAAATTAACCCAAGGTTTGAGATAATTCATGTGTAAATAATAAAGATTACTGGAAGATGATAGTTTCAGATGACTGAATGAAAGTATTGGAAATTATAGATATCAGTATTTTTAATTTTTGATCAAAACAATAAAAAATATGTGAAGTACCCACATCATTCACATTAGACTTATTAAATATTATTTTTACTGCAGGTTTTCCTTCGTAGTCATCTTGTCTTTTCAGAACTAGATAAAAAGCCAATGTAATTATATACTTTTTAAATTTTGTCAACTTGTGCTTAAATTCAATTTAATATAACGTACAAAATCAACTTTTACTTGAGTGCTTAAATTTAATTGAATATTCAGAATGCTTTTTTTTTCATTTTTCGATATCCGATGCATCATAATGTGTCAAATACCATAAGTTTTTGATTTAAAATGTTTTTTAACTTCATTTTGAAAATTATAAACAAAATTAAAAGCTTAATAAGCTAATATTGGTCTTTTCCATTTCAATAACTATCAAATATCGAATGTACTGTAAATTCAGAAATTATTGTGTGCATTTATTATTGCGATTTTTCAAAAATGGACAAGAATGCGAGTTTAATTATTGCGATTTTAGAAAAATCTACATACAGATCTATAGTTTAGTTTTCAAATGCGAGTTCTTATTATTACGATGCTCACCAAGTCGCATTATTCGCATTAATAAAAACCTCGCAATAATTTCTGAATTTACAGTATATCATTTCAGAATTACATTAAAGATCCCTTTGAATACCACACACACCATATCCTGAATACATAGAAACCACTAAACCATCCATAGAACAAAAGCAAGAAACAAGACAATAAAACCTGACCAATCAGAATTACCTCAACACACAACCATGTTAAATGTTAGTAAAGATGCAGCACTTGAAGCGCAATGTATTTCTGAAATGATCATTTGATATTTGTTTTCTATAGCAAACTTTTTTCAGATCAAATTATTTCTTTTAACCATCAGTTTAAAGAAATTTCAATTCAAGGTTTATATTGTTCTACAATCTGACAATTATGATGCATTAAATATATAAAAAATGGAAAAAGAATATGAAAATATTTTCCTTATGTAAATTTGAAATTTGAATTACAAAAATTGTATGTCCTTTTTTAGCAAACACATTTTCACTTACATAAGAACTGATAGAGCTAACCAAACATATCTCTATATAGAATTCACATACATTGACTATATTTCTTCAAGTCTTTCACTTTCTGCTGGTTCTGCCATCATTGGTATAATTGGAAATAAAGATATTATTCAGAATCTACAGAAATTATCAAATTTGTATTCATAATTCAAAAAAAAAAAAACCAAAAAACATACATATTATCTAAGTTTACAGTTCAGGATGACCCCTTTTCAAGCTTAAATATTTTCTAATTCTTCAAGGACTAGTCTGTGAACTTGATTATGAAGAACCGCAATAAAATAAAAGGGTTTCTTTGTTGTATACCAAGTATATTTGACATTTTCCCTCTCTTTTTTTCTATGTTTTTGCTTCTTCAACAGGGGCATCAGAAAGAAACAATCAATTAAACAATCTACTTCAATGGGTAATACCCATCCTCACACTTCTACCAGTGAGCGTATCTTTAGTTTGGCTGAATCCTCTTTTCATGTGGATTGCTCCCAAAAAATAAAACCAGATAATCTCCAGAAAACTTCAGCATGATATCTCAAAGTCCTCTTCTACAGGCATAGGCAGGAAGCCTGTAGCTGTCGTAGGTCGCTTGCGAACATCTATTCCTCGCGAGATAGCGACGGAGGCCTTCTCAACATCGATGACTGTCGTCCCGTTTGGAGGTAACCAGCTAATTTAAGGAAACACCCCCCAAACAACAAAATTACTTAATATTACTTACACTGACTACATTTCTTCAAATCTTTCAATTTCCTCTGGTTCTTCTGCCATTCTTGGTATAGTTGGAAATAAAAGAAATAGTCATTATTATTCAGAATCTACAGAAATCACAAAATTTGTATACATAATTTTCTTTAAACATTTACTTATTGTTGAAGGACTTGTCTGTGAACTTAATTATGAAGAACCGCAATAAAATAAAAGGGTTTCTTTGTTGTATACCAAGTATATTTGACATTTTCCCTCTCTTTTTTTCTATTTTTCTGCTTCTTCAACAGGGACATCAGAAAGAAACAATCAATCAAACAATCTACTTCAATGGGTATTACCCATCCTCATACTTCTACCAGTGAGCATATCTTTAGTTTGGCTGCACCCTCTTTTCATGTGGATTGCTCCCAAAAAATAAAACCAGATAATCTCCAGAAAACTTCAGCATGATATCTCAAAGTCCTCTTCTACAGGCATAGGCAGGAAGCCTGTAGCTGTCGTAGGTCGCTTGTGAACATCTATGCCGCCCGTCCTCACGAGTCAGCGATGGAGGCCTTCTCAACATCGATGACTGTCGTCCCGTTTGGAGGTAACCAGCTCATTTAAGGAAACACCCCCCAAACAACAAAATTACTTAATATTACTTACACTGACTACATTTCTTCAAATCTTTCAATTTCCTCTGGTTCTTCTGCCATTCTTGGTATAGTTGGAAATAAAAGAATAGTCATTATTATTCAGAATCTACAGAAATCACAAAATTTGTATACATAATTTTCTTTAAACATTTACTTATTGTTGAAGGACTTGTCTGTGAACTGAATTATGAAGAACCGCAATAAAATAAAAGGGTTTCTTTGTTGTATACCAAGTATATTTGACATTTTCCCTCTCTTTTTTTCTATTTTTCTGCTTCTTCAACAGGGACATCAGAAAGAAACAATCAATTAAACAATCTACTTCAATGGGTATTACCCATCCTCACACTTCTACCAGTGAGCATATCTTTAGTTTGGCTGCATCCTGTTTTCATGTGGATTGCTCCCAAAAAATAAAACCAGATAATCTCCAGAAAACTTCAGCATGATATCTCAAAGTCCTCTTCTACAGGCATAGGCAGGAAGCCTGTAGCTGTCGTAGGTCGCTTGCGAACATCTATGCCGCCCGTCCTTGCGAGTCAGCGACTGAGGCCTTCTCAACATCGATGACTGTCGTCCCGTTTGGAGATAACCAGGTAATTTAAGGAAACACCCCCCAAACAACAAAATTACTTAATATTACTTACACTGACTACATTTCTTCAAATCTTTCAATTTCCTCTGGTTCTTCTGCCATTCTTGGTATAGTTGGAAATAAAAGAATAGTCATTATTATTCAGAATCTACAGAAATCACAAAATTTGTATACATAATTTTCTTTAAACATTTACTTATTGTTGAAGGACTTGTCTGTGAACTTAATTATGAAGAACCGCAATAAAATAAAAGGGTTTCTTTGTTGTATACCAAGTATATTTGACATTTTCCCTCTCTTTTTTTCTATTTTTCTGCTTCTTCAACAGGGACATCAGAAAGAAACAATCAATTAAACAATCTACTTCAATGGGTATTACCCATCCTAACACTTCTACCAGTGAGCGTATCTTTAGTTTGGCTGCATCCTGTTTTCATGTGGATTGCTCCCAAAAAATAAAACCAGATAATCTCCAGAAAA